AATTATATAAGAGAATCAAACAGAAATTCTGGAGTTAAAAAGTATAATAACTGAAATGAAAAATTCACTAGAAGGACTCAACAGCATCTTTGAACATGTGGGAGAAGAATCAGTAATAGTAAAGACAGGTCAATTGAAATCATCCAGTCTGAGAAACAGGAAGAAAACAGAACGAAGAAAAAAGAACAGACCATCTGAGACCTGTGGGACTCCATCAAGTGTAGCAGCATGTATGTATTCAGAACCTCAAAATGAGAAGAGAGAAAGGGGCAGAAAGAATATGTGAAGAAAGTGGATTGAAACTTCCCATTTTTGGGGAAAAAAAAGAAAAAAGCTCATCACTTGCAAGTATAATAAACTCAAAGAGATCCACACCTGCTAAGATAATAATCAAACTGTCAAAGCCAAGAAGAAAGAATCTTGAAAGCAGTAAGAGAAGTGATTCATCACATACAAAGGATTCTAATGAGATTAATAGGTGATTTCTCATCAGAAACCATGGAAGCCAAAAGGCTGTAGGATTAAGATATTCAAAGTGCTAAATGTCCATCAGTAGATGAATGGATAAAGAAGATGTGGTACATACACACAATGGAATATTACACAGCCATAGGAAAAAAACAGATCCTACCATTTGCAACAACATGGATGGAGCTAGAGGGTATTATGCTCAGTGAAATAAGCCAAGCGGAGAAGGACAAGTATCAAATGATTTCATTCATATGTGGAGTATAAGAACAAAGGAAAACTGAAGGAACAAAACAGCAGCAGAATCACAGAACCCAAGAATGGACTAATAGTTACCAAAGGGAAAGGGACTGGGGACGATGGGTGGGAAGGGAGGGATAAGGGTAGGGAAAAAGAAAGGGGGCATTACGATTAGCATGTATAGTGTGTGGGGGGGCATGGGGAGGGCTGCGCAACACAGAGAAGACAAGTAGTGATTTTACAGCATCTTACTACACAGATGGACAGTGACTGTGAAGGGGTATGTGGGGGGGAATTGGTGAAGGGGGGAACCTAGTAAACATAATGTTCTTTCTGTAATTGTAGATTAATGATACCAAAATAAAAAAATAAAAAAAAAGATATTCAAAGTGCTGAGAGAAAAGACTATCAACTAAGAATTCTATTTCCAGCAAAATGACCCTTAAAAAATGATGGAGAAATTAAGACATTCTCAAATAAACAAAAACAGAGTTCATCTTTGGTAGACCTGCCCTACCAAAAACTACTAAAGGGAATCCTTTAGTATGCAATGGAAGAACACTAGACAGTAAATCAAATCCACATGAAGAAAATAAAAGAGCACCAGGAAAAGTAACTACACTGGGAAATATAAAGGATAGTATGAATGTATTTTTTATTTGTAACTTTTTTGTAATATTTTGTCTGATAATAGTATAACCATTTCAGCTCTGTTTTTGTTTCTGTTTTCATGGTATATCTTTTTCCAAGGTTTTACTTTGAACCAGTTTGTTTCTTCAAATCTAAAGAGTTTTTTTGTAGAGGGGGTAAGGTTAGATCATGTTTTTTTATCCATCCTACCAATGTTCATCTTTTCATAGGATTGATACCAATCCTACAAAATTAAAAGGATTATGAAGGAATACTATGAAGAACTGTATGTCAACAAATTAGATAACCTAGGTAAAATGGACAAAATCTTAGACACAAACTACAGACACTGTTTCAGGAAAAAACAATCTGAATAACTTATAACAAATGGAAACTTTTATTTAAAAGACAATTGCATAGGACAATAATTATAAATCTGTATAGAAGGACATACAATGTATAAAGATGCATTTTATGACAATAGAGCACAAAAGATGAATGGAGGGAATGAGGCTATATAGGAACAAAGTCAGTGCATACTACTGCAATTAAGTTGTTATTAATCTGAATTAGGTTGGTATAAATAAATTGAGATGCTAATTTTAATCCCAGGGCAACCATGAAGAAAATAAAGAAATAAAATAAACAAGAAAGAAATGAAAATAGTACACTAGAAAATATTTTAACAAACCAGGCAACAATAATGGAAAAATAAAGAATCAAAAGAGACGAAAGATATGAACAAATACAAAATGGCACACATAAATCCTACATTAACAGTAATTTTGCTAAATGTAACTGGCTTGAACAAACCAATGAAAAGATGAACATTGGTAGGATGGATAAAAAAACATGATCTAACCTTACCCCCTCTACAAAAAAAACTCTTTAGATTTGAAGAAACAAACTGGTTCAAAGTAAAACCTTGGAAAAAGATATACCATGAAAACAGAAACAAAAACAGAGCTGAAATGGTTATACTATTATCAGACAAAATATACCTTAAGATAAAAATTCTTAATAGAGACAAGGACATTTTACAATGAGAAAAGGTCAATCCATCAAGAAAATATAAAATATTAATATTATACACATATATCTCTTATAACACTTAACAACTCCAAAATGCATAAAGCAAAAACTGACAGAACTGAAGGAAGAAATTAACAATTCAACAATAACAGTTGGAGACTTTAGCACCCTACTTTCAATAATGGATGACAACTAGACAGAAGATCAACAAGAAAACAGAAGATCTGAACAGTACTATAAACCAACTAGGCTTACTTACCATCTATCTATAGAATACTCTATCCAACAAGAGTGGAATACACATTTTTCTCAAGTATAAGGACAGACTATGTTAGGCCATAAAACAAGTCTCAATAAATTTAAAAGGAATAAAATCAAACAAACTGTATTTCTGACCATGAAGGAATGAAATTATAAATCAGTAACAGAAAAAAATGTGGGGAATTAACAAATACATGCAATTAAATAACACTCTCCTAAATAACCAGTTAAACTGGGGATATTGATACCAATCCTACAAAATTAAAAGGATTATGAAGGAATACTATGAAGAACTGTATGTCAACAAATTAGATAACCTAGGTAAAATGGACAAAATCTTAGACACAAACTACAGACACTGTTTCAGGAAAAAACAATCTGAATAACTTATAACAAATGGAGAGACTGAAATAGTAATCAAAATCTCACAAAAATAATCTCAGATCCAGATGGCCTCACTGGTGGATTCTACCAAATATTTAAACAAGAATCAATACCAATCTCTTGCAAACTTCTAAAATACAGAAAAGGAGGGAATACTTCCCGATTCATTCTAGAAAGCCAATATTACCTTTCTGATATCAAAACCAAAGACATCACAAGACAACAATAAGTATCTCCTATGAATATCAATACAAAATCCTTTATAAACAAACAAAAAATGTAAAAAATGAGATCTATCCCAAGAATGCAAGGTTGGTTCAACATACAAAAATCAATCAATGCAATACATGAACTGCTAGAAGAAAGAATAAAAGCCATATGATCATCTTAATCTATGCAGAAAAAGCATCTGACAAAATCCAACATCCTTTCATGATAAAAACACTCAACAAGCTAGGAATAAAAGCGAACATTCTCAACCTGATCAATGGTACTTAGGAAAAACACAGCTAACATCATACTTAATGGTGAGAGGCTGAAACCTTCCCAAGATCAGGAAAAGGATAAGGATGTCTCCTATCTCCACTCCTATTCAGGATTGTGCTGGAGGTTCTAGCTATATCAATTAGACAAGGGGAAAAAAATCCACATTGGAAAAAAGAAGTAAAATTATCTCTATTTGCAGATGAAATGATCTTATATGTAGAAAATCCTAAGGAATCCACAGAAAATTGTGAGAACTAATAAATGAGCTCAATAAAGCTGCAGGATACAGGATCAGTACACAAAAATCAGTTATATTCCTATACACAGGCAAAGAACAATCCAAAACTGAAATTAAGAAAACAATTTCATTTATACTGTAGCCCAAAAAGAAGAACAAAATACTTGGGAATAAACATAACAAATGAAGTATAAGACTTGTGCACTGAAAATCACAAAATACTGTTGAAAGAAATTAAAGATGACCTAAATAATTGGACAAAAAGCCTCTTCTTGAATTAGAGGACTTAATTCATCCTCACCTGGAATGTGATCCCCATTAAAATGCCAGTTTTTTGCAGAAATTCACATGCTGATACTAAATTCTTGTGAAAATGCATAGAACCCACAATAACCAAAATAATCTTGAAAAAGAAAAAAAATGTTGAAGGACCGACACTTGCCAATTTTAAAACTTATAACAAAGCTATAATATAATCAAGACCGGCATAGGACAGACATATAGACCAATGGAATAGAATTGAGAGTTAAAAAAAAAATACATGTATATTTTTAACAAAGGTAGGAGAAAATTCAATGGAGAAAGAACAGTCTTTAAACAAATGGTATGAGGACAGCTGGACAGCTACATGAAAAGAAACTTCATCCCTACCTCAAACCATTTTCAAAAATTGACTTGAAATGGATCAAAGACCTAAATGTAAGAACTAAAACGATAAACTCTTAGAAGAAAACACAGGTGTAAATTTCCATGATTTTGGATTAGGCCATGGTTTCTTAGATGTGTCATGAAAGTATTAACAATAAAAGAAAAAATGAAATAATTAAAATTCTTCAAAATTACAAGCTTTTGTATTTCAAAGGATACTATCAAGAAAGTGAAAGGTCAAGTCACACAATAGGAGACATTTGCAAAATGATATATCTCATTGGAGACTAGTACCTGCAACAGAAAATATATAAAGAGAGGACTATTACAATCCAACAATAAAAAGGCAATTAAAAAACTGAGCAAGGAATCTAAGGACTTCTCTGTTGGATATTCATGATTACTGCTAAATTGTCTGTCTCCTAGATTTACTTTACATTCAATCATTAGGAACTGGAATAGAAACAGACTCAAGGGATAATTCCATCATCTGCCAGATCAGCATATCAGCTATGTGCTTACCAGCTATTAGGGGTAGAATTTCTAAGAATAAATTATGTCTCCTACAAGTTATGTGAATGCCTGTACATCAATTAAAAAACAAAAGCATTACCTTCACAGTCAAATCCTCATTACCCAGTGTGATATGGACTTGAATTGGCGGGTAAACACCTTTGTCTGCATGATGTTCCATTGTTGCTCTCATTGCATTCTGAAATACATTAGGGCTATATAAAAAATACAACTTAAAGGACAAAGAAACAAATTATAATTTTCAAGTATATATGTACTACTTGAAATTAAAGTTTTTTTGATTTGGTGGAAATACGCCAAAGAATTATAATTCTTATAACCATATTTAAAGAATTCCTTTAAAAATAAAATTATTAAGTTAGTTTTGCAGGACTTGTAAGGTATTTTGATTTTAAAAGTCCAGCTAAATTCTTCATATTTCCAAAACCAGATGTCTGGATGCTTTTAACTAGTTTACATTAAGCAGAAAATTCTATCCAGAAAGTTTTATAATTTAGTGGATTACAGGCAAACCTTATTTTTGAAAACAGTTTTGTCTAGTTTTATGAACCATTTGTCACAAATAGCTTCAAGAAAAAATATTTTCAAGTAGTATTAACAGTAATGGTCCTATTATAATGCAGAAACAAATTCAATTTACCACTAGTTAGAAACTAAGGAAATATACATTGTAAAACTGTTTTGATCAATTTCTAAAGGCTATAGCATACACAATGCCAACATATTAGTAAGCACTAAAGGACAACATAACATGTAGAAATTTGTTGGAGTAGAAATTGATAAGACTAGATTCAATTAAAAAGACAAAAGACAGGACTGAATTTGAAAATAAGAGTGTGTGCCCTAGCACACCAGTCAGGATTGAGAATCCCTGAGGAGACCTATCGTCTCTGCCAGAAGCCATTTCACATTAGGGAACAGATATAAAATCTATTACATAACATGGTAATTTTTTTTTTTTCAGTAAGCATCAAGGGAACAAGATCTTTATGTGCCTGAAATTTCAAGGAAAAATTAGTTTTAATGAAGTGCCAATCACTTATTTTTTAACCACTTGGATAGATTTTTGTTAACATAGTAGATATGTTCTTACTGTAAAAGAGCCTCCCTCACTAGCACTTGCTGTTCTAAGATATTCAGTGAATTTTTCTGTGTTTCAGTGTATTTTCTTTTTCATGATCAGGCTGAAAGCTACCTCTTCTCTCTTCTAGTTTACAACTGACTAAATACATGGAGTAACTAAAGCAAGACAAATAATAGGCTTGGTTTAGGGCAGTGATTTCCAGCCACAGGGACTTGTATCTCCTCATCACTCACTTTCCTGTTGACCAACAAGTGTTGAGGAGTGTTATTGGGAAAAAAGGACCCTCAACATTACTAGCATACATTAATTAGTTTACGTTAAGGAGAAGACATTACTAACATAATATTAGTAGCATACTTTTATTTAGTTTTCAAATTTTGTCTTAAAGAGCAAATATAACAGCAAAAACTGTGTAAGTCAATATAAATTATTTTCTCAAAAAAAACATATAACAATGATACTTTGATCCTTTAAGGGCAGAAAGTTGGGAGTTATTCTTTTAAATATTTTGTTTTGTACATGTATAACTTTACTGAGCACCTTTAGTGTGCTGCCACCACATTGGACATTTAATGTTATTTACAATCTTCAAAATAACCTGGATAGTAGCATTACCCTCATTTTACAGAAGGTAAACTGAGGCTCAAAAAGGCTGAGTGATTTGCCCATGGTCATACACAGATTAAGTGGCAGAACTGGAATTCAAACCCAGGTCTTTCTGATTCCATGCTTGAGCTTACCACTATACTGAGGAGCCCATCAGTGTTGACAAAAGGCTGACCTCCAGCAATGTGACATGACACTGAACATGAAATGACATCTTTTAATGAAATGGAGGGAAAACCGGTAGAGTAACTTTGACAGAAGATTCCTAACCTCAGGAAAGGACCAGTAAAGGTTATGTAATACCATTTTACAAACCTTGAAAAGTTCAAACACCATGTGATAGAGATGGGATGGTACATAAACCACTTGTATTGGTTGTCCTGGTGATTTTGCTATAGAGCAGAAGAGAAAAATATAAACGTACAGAGAGATGTACTTACAGCATTTTTAAGAATATATTGTGTAGTGATGAAAGGAAACATTTATTATGGAAGATAGTATTACTTAGGGGAGAACTGCACACCAGTTCTTCACTATATTAGTTTCTGAGCCCACGCTCACAGATTTGTAACTGCTGGTGACAACATGAGTCCTGTAGTCATTCCTGCAATCCTGCATAATAATCTAACCAAACATCTTCCCATTATTCTCTATGACAGAGCATCTTTTAAAGAACATTCACCCTTAAGGTTGGAATTTTGCTTTCCAAAAAAAAGTGCTAGTCTGTAAATTCTATGGTCCAATTCACATCAATATATTCTTTTCATAAAAGCCGTTTTTTAAATGTCTTACCCAGGCAGAGCATTTTCTGTTTTATTTCAAGCTGTTTTATGAATATAGATTTGAATTTTAAAATGTAAGCTAGCATCAGTTTTTCAAGGGGACACTGACTCTACATTTAAACATTTAATAGGAGCCCAGCTGTGGATGGAGGACAGTGGACAGAGTGTAAAACAGAACTTTTAGTAAAAGAGTAAGACTCACCATCCCTTAGAATTCTATTTCAGCCAATAAACTGGATTCTCCTATGCATAACTGCTCCTTGGAAATACAGATGGAACATCTGGAAGCTGCTGACAGCAGCTCAGGTTCCAAAACTATCACCTGGGCATTGGGTTACTTACTGAACAGCACCATTATGGACTAAAGGAGTTAAGATGACTTTAGGAAAACACTAAGTGGTTCTATTTTTAATTAGGTAACTTCTTCCACTGCTGTCCCACTATAAGGTCCAGTATACCACTATTTAGAAATATCCAGTGAATGCCTATCTAATTTTATTCTTCTTAAAGGGTCATCTTAACTTATGAAATATTTTGCCCTCTACCAAGCTACCCTACCTCTAGGAATACAATGAGACTCATCCATCTCCTTCCAAGGCTTCTAAACCTTTTTGATCCAAAAGGTACTAGACAGGGTGAAAAGACCATCAGAGATAAACAGTTCTCAAATAGGTGAGCTCTTTCCTCTTTAACACCTCCAGTCTTTTTGCTTCCACAGTAAAAAATGATTTACATCTCAGAAAGTATAAATGGTAAAGGATAAACCTTACATTATTGAAGTGCATATAAAAGTCAACTGTAATTTTCTTGGCATCATTTTTCGCTATGACTAACCACAAAAATCAAACTAAGCAAAGAACCAATGTTACCAATTAAAAATAAGGAAAATGGGGAAGAAAAAGCCAAAATGTTTTTCAGAAAGAATCCAACTCACACACACACACACACACACACACACACACATATTTTTAACATGATTGTTCTCTCTCAGCTTTTGTATCCAAAGAACAAGTTGATGAAAACTTTTTATATTAAAACAAAACTAAATTCTTATCATTCCTTTTCAGATAATCATAACAGTAATCATTGAGGAAAGCAACATCAGGCTTACCATTTAGTTCTTCAAGTTCTAGTTCAGGAGAGTTAATATAATACAAATCACACAGGCGCCTAGCATTTTCATAGCCATCTAGTATGAATCAAAACAAAAAAGCATTAAATAAATTAACTTCTGTTTTACACATTAAGATGGTAATTGTATTGACAAATGAAATTTTAAAACTCTCTACAGAAGAAAATATGCTTTAACAGTTTAGGTAAGGTCTGTAAGTAAGAGAAGGCAAAGCTTAACAGCCATAAAAGAAAAACAATGATATGATTACAAAAAATAAAAACATCTATATGAAAAAAGGCTCCATAAACAAAGTTCAAAGAAGAACAGCAAGCTGAAGAAAACATTTACAATACATATAACAAAATTTAGAGTTGGGGAGGGTTTAGGAATTAGACATGTTCATTCATTGCGTTTTCATTTTTTGTGATACCTTTTTGGAGTTATCAAAATTTTAAATGCTTTTTATATATCTTTAATTCTAGGAATCTTGCCTTCTAAAATAAAATACTAGCAAAAGTCAGCACATACCTAAAGACGTTTACTGCAGTACTGTTGGTAACAAAAATAATTTTAAAAACCTAAATATGCATCAACAAGAGGGTGGATTTATATATTCATAGATACATACATAACAGCCATTCAAAAACCTGGGGTATAACCCTATGTACTGAACATGGTACAATGTTTGTAAATTTGTACATAGCATAAACAGGAAAGGGTGGAAAGACACAAACCAAACTATTATGAATTATGGCTCATAGGACAGGGACTTAGAAAGGAGGGGAAACTTGAAGTTTGTGAGGTGAAACAGGTCACCATACTTTGCCTAACAAAGCATTATAATAAAAAAAAATTCATCCTATACAGAATGCACAATAACATAAAATTATTTTCAAATCCATGCATTTGCTCCTAGCCTTTTATCTCGGGATAAAGAGTTGTTTTAAAAGCAAGAAATAAAACTCAACAATTTATATTTTTGCATTCTTTCTGAAAAGAGAAATGTAAGTATTTACCTTTAATGACTTCAACTACGTCGCAGTTTGGATTTATGCTTCCTATGTGTTTTCTATGAGATGGGCTTCCTTTGCCTTTCCCACCAAACAATAAAGCTATCAAAAAATTGAAAACAAAAACAAGCAAAATGAACTAAACTACTGAATGCCCATTCCTCTACCATTTCTCTAAATGGTACCAAACAGTAGAGTATTTTCCTTAAACATACAGTATTTTCCATTCAACAAAAATACCTTTGTATGGCAGTCTATTTGCTTTTCTTAATACTTTTCAAAAAAATAAAATTAAATGTTTACTAAAGGGAAGTTTCCTAAATAAAATATGCCAACACATTTTACTTAGCTGCTTCTCTGGACTTGAGACACTTACAGTGTTGATTGAGTAACATTCTAATTGAAATGCGGCTCATGTAGAAACGATCCAAGAAGTATTGAACATTCTGGCTGGTGACAGGATCCACCCCGAAGCTCTCCTTGTATTCTGTCACACCCTGGGCCATTGTGGGAATAACATCGTTGTGTCGGTTCCTGATCCGGATCACAGCATCTGTAAACCTAAAGAAACCTATCCATCAAAAAAACCAAATATTTTGACAAGCGAATTTAATACTAAAATCTAAGTTTAACCAACTATACTAGACAAGAAATCCCTAATTCAGTAAAAGGAGCATCAGTGCATGTTTTCCTACACATATTTAAATATATCTGATATTATAAAATAGATGGAATCTATAAAGGTATAATGACTTCCTAAATGAAACTTTCGAAACTTAATTATTTTCGTGGAACTCCTACAGTAAGGCTGCCAGAAAACATGATCCTAAAAATGTTAAGGGTTTTCTTTAACCATATCAGCAAAGTCATCTGGGCGCCCACTAGGAGGATGGTTTTCAGCATAAAAGAAGACAGAGCACCCACCAAGGAGCACAAACTGTGTAAGACACAAAGTTGAATGAGCCCGTAAAGCCTGTCTGGGGACTATTCCCTAGGATTCCAAGAGACAGAGAAACACTTGGAAAAGCAAAAAATAATTCCAATTTCATTCACCTTGGAGACATTACTCCACAGCTAATTCTAAAGAACTAAATAAGAAAGGGAAGAAGTCTTAATTTGAAATAACAAAATCCATCTTGTAACACGCATATCAGAATTTACACTTCTGAATGAGTGCTTTCCCATTCAAAGTCATCGTATCTTGAGTACTATTAACTCACTCCAATGACGCTCTTGCTGCTCAGAACATTTTTGGAATTCCTAGTTTGTGATGGGCTTCAAAATCAAACTGTTAATCCAGAATATAAACAATAAAACTCCTCAGAAACAACAAACAACTCATTTCTAGTCACCTCTTTCATTTATTTCACCTATTTTTTTTTAATCTAAAACATTATTCTCTTGACTGATCACATTATTTTTTAGAGTCAGCTCTGAGTGACTAACCATTTCCAGAAGCTTCTACAGTATAATGTTGACTTTTAAGTAAGACTGCTTGGATTCAAATCCTGGTCAACGATTTGCTGGCTATGTGACCTTAATGCCAGCTTAAGTTACTTCTTTGTGCACAATCATTATCTCAATAGAGTTGTTTAAAAGATTAAATATCGTTCATGTAAAGTGTGCTCCATATGTAGGCAAAGAGTAAATTCTTGATGTTATTTTCAGACCAAAATCATCTTTAAAAAGTAAAATGTTGCCATCATCTTTAAGACAGTCAAAAAATGTCTCTAAGGACAACAGAAAAGGTAGTTTTGAACAACATCAATTGGAATAAGCAGGTAACTGCCTGAGGGGACTGCATGAGTTTATTAATTCTGGTATGTTGGTTATTAAATTGGTCATATTACTTACATTATCTTAGAACCTACAGGTCATGAACTGAGACCTACAGTCATATTCTTATAGGTCTTCAGTGTTTTGAAAAAAATTTTAATTAGTCTCAATCTTTCAAAATTGAGAGATTTTTACATGAAAAATCTAGACTTGTGGCTTTTCCTTAGACGCACACAAAAAAATCAGATGATCTGGGAAACATTTCTGTATGGCAATGATCAGCTAGAGTTGAAGACGGCTGCCCTTTAGAAGCATGCACTCACAGGTGACAGTCCTCACCTGTCCCCTACCTACAGCTAAGATTTCTACTGATCATCACACTTAAACTGTGTCTTCCCTTATGGCAGGTATAAGAGGAACGTGGAGCATTTCTTACACGCAGCCCAGTTTACTGGCTCACGTTACTTGCTTACCTGAACAAGCTGCTTGAGGCAAATAAACTACTATCTGTTCTAGAGTTAGTACGAAACTAAAAGTTAATCAGTTTCCCTAAAATCACCCAGTAACGGGTTTAAGCTTAAGACATTTACATGATGCTTTCTATATGATGCTTAGAGTATAAAAGTTCTGTACAGAATAGAGTCAAAATAGTGTACTTACTCATAAATAGTTTTAGCATCTTCAGCACTTCTGTCCTTAAAATCAAGAAGCTCCTGAAGGCTCTGGATATACCTAAAATGCAATTCCATGGGGACATTTGTTCTTTTATATTTTGAAAGCTCAATATTGTGAAAAACATCAAAAAGTATTTGTAACATCTCTTAATTTTTAGAGTAGTACTATAAATTATGATTGAAATAGGATTTTTATACCCATTCAGATTTGAGCAAAGTGTCTGACATGAAGTAGCAGAAGCTGCAAATTTTCTTCTAAAAACATAGGTTAAATTTAAGAATTTTTAATTCCCTACTTTTAAGTTCTATACTGTAAAAGAGTTTTTCTATTTCATAAATTTGCTACTTTACGTTACAGCATAAATGCTGATTGTCATAAAACAGCCTGTCACCAATAACTATATTACCTGGGGCAATGACTTAACTGTCTCAGTCTCAGTGAAATGTGGAGTCCAGCCTACATTGGTCTAAGAATCTAACTTAAATGCCTGTTGCTTTAATACCTAAATGTTTATGTCCAGTCAACAAATATTTGCTCAAAACCTACAATTTTCTACATAATTCTTTTAAACAGAACTGGACAAAACCAAAAGTCATGAAAATGTAGCTTTTTAAGTTCCATAACAATACAAGGAGCAAATCCCCTGTTAAGAGAGGAGCAAAATGGGGAACGCCAAATGAGCTTCTCAAGGTCATGCTGCCAAGCACAATGGCAGGGCAGTGCCCAAGCTAGAAACACCTCACAACAATCCATGACCTTCAACAGTGTAAGGTCTGCTTTGGCTTGTCTACTGGCACTCTAACTCAGTAGGCGTCCAAGGGCAATGCGAGTGTTTTAAATATCTGTACATCTGTATGTTGGCTTAGAAAGCTGTTCCCAACAAGCAATAGGCCCCTCTAGTCCAAAGCTTTCCAAAGTAAAGTGATTCTGATACCTACTGTTCTGTTTTAACCCTTTGTTTTTCTTTTCACTGGCAAAAAAAACTATGCTCTTTATTCCAGAGATATTTGAGTACCTACAAAGTGTTAGGGACAGATCAGATTGTTAAATGCAGCATATTCTATTTTTAATGAAGAATTTATTCTATGGAATAAACTTCCAAAGAAAATTATATGTTCTCCTTTAAATCCCATCACAGTTCCCCGACAAATGCCTTTTCCTTAAACCCTGTTTATAACTGTTCCATGCTTAGACTAGATAGTATCTGTACCTTTAGCAGACAGCAGTCAAACTTTTTTTTTTAAATTGATATTAGATCAGCTTCTCCCATAAACTGTAATGCTAGGAAAGCTAGGACCTCCATGGATCTTAATTGGGAAACATATTATAGCTGTATTTCTTCCACCTTAGACTGAACTCTGACAAACTCTTAAGAAAGTAACACTTTTAAATTAAGAACATTGACAAGAAAGGCCGTATATAAGTGACCACATATGTATGCACACCTTCAATATACCTCTACTATCGATTTTTGGAAGAGAGAACATAGCTTCTAAATGATTCCAGTAACTAATTCTTTTAAAATGGTAGATAAAGACTTTAAATTTGTGATTTATAAAGATATAGTCCAATAAAATAAGTTTATTAAAATATAAATTTCATCATTCTGACTACAGCATGTGGTAGCAGAAACAAATCTGAGTATGAATCCCAGCTCCACTATGAGTGGTACTGCCTTAGGCAAAGAACTTAACCTGTAGGTGCCTCAGTTTTCTCATCTGTAAAATGGGGATTATAATACCACCATGTAGGGCTGTTGAAGGGATTAAAGGTAATGCATGTAAATCCTTCAGGCTTAACAAATGGCAGATATTTTTATTAAATCATAGGCTAACCCATCCCTGCAGATTTAATAACATAAATCTTAAATTTCTGTACAGTTTTTTTTGTTTGTTTCAAAACCAAGAAGTTGTAAGAGTCCAGGATTCAAGGGACAAGCCCAGACACACCCAACCCAGTAAAAGGAGGAATGTTGCTACTACCTCAAGATTCTACTGAAGAGTAAAAAAGTGTATTTGCTTTAACCTTGAGTAAAGTCCGCAACTGTTATCAAAATTACAAACACAAGATAGGACTCTTACCAGCTTTGTACCAATTGAACTGAAGGAGTCCTGAGAAGATTATCTGGAAGAAGACTTATTTCTTTCATTATATTTGCCAATCTAACAGGCAACTCTTGCCGAAGGAACATAAATGAGGTCTTTTCACAAGCATTCACAGATCCTGAAACCAAACACGGTGGGAACGGCAGTAAGTGGAAGCCATAAATTAGGCTGCAGAAGCAGAGAAGCAGGGAGAACACAGGGGGTTACTTGATGAGGTCAGAGTGGTAGGATCACTATAATAACAGGGCAAGAAAGAGGAGGCAAGGGATGCCATAACCCATCTCTAGGGTTGTGAGGCATCATTCTGAATGACTTTCCAATTCCTGGCATTTCAATAGCTTTGAAGAGCAACGAAGATACTTCCCTGTCTCCATTACTTGCATCTTTACTGTGATCACCTATCTCAAAACTAAGCTCCTGAGCAAGTCTGAGCAAGGTGCAGGGCCTAATTAACAGTAAGACCTGTAAAAGCTGATCTATGCAACCCTTTGTTGATATCTTTTAGAAAATCTGTTTCCTAACTCTAGGTTTTTAGTGAGTATCTAAGAAACAAAATTTTGACATGCGCGTGGGAACCACTGTACTAAATACTATAAACAAAGGATAAATGTAGAGGAGGGCTTTCTGGTTTTTTTCAGGCAACTGAAGGCAAAACAAAAACAAAAAACACCAATGCCTGTTCAGCAACCATTTACAAGCTTATGCCTCAGCAGCTCTATTCAGCAGTCTGATTCCTGAGAAGCAGCCTGCTCTTCCTCCATTCCTGAATAAAGATGCTAGGCACGGCACGTTTGTATAATATCCCTTGGGAAGCAGTTCCATTTGAAATAGAAAGTCACATTATTTCAGCAATGCATTTGTACTCACTAATTTAATCTTGCTAAAATAACAAGAGACAACCTTAGCAAAAATTAGATTGTCGATAGCAGGAATTACAGTATTAAAGGAAAACATTTTCTTGTGAAAGTTTAATGGCATTCTGGTCAATGACGGCAAATCATCCCTTCACCACATGAGTCATTTTAAAGTAGAAACAAAAACCGAGGGCTGTGAGCCTAAAAAAAATGCCACAGTAAACCACACTTTTTAGATAAATTGCCAGCAAGCTGCTATCTTTGAAGCTCACTAGTGATCCGTTAGTGACTTAACAGCACTCTCAATGCAGAAGAAAACTTTCTTCTACTCAAATTTTATTACTTTATTAGTTTTCCCTTTTTCCCTCAGTGACCCATCTGAAAAGTCAGTTAAATGCCTAACTTTGCATCCTTTCTAGAGAAAACCAATAAGCACAATCAGGATGAAGAAAGTGAATCATCGCTTCCAAAGGGGTGAAATGTGAAAAACATCCACAGCCACTTTTATTCAAGCACTTTACATGTGCTCAAGACTTACTTGCTGCTCATGAAATGAACGTGCTGTTGGTGGAAACAATCTTACGCAAGTGGCAAGAGAAACATTCTATAAAACACTTGTTTAACCTGCTTCCCCTATCATCACGCCAATTTTATGCAATCATCGTATGCAAAACTGAGCACTTATTAGCACTGCAGAATCCGAACACGACTCCCGGGTGTCCACACACTTGCGGGTCTCCCGAGCACGGTTCTCCGGCAAGGGCCTGGCAGCGAGCGCGGATCTGCACTCGTGCGCTCAAAGGCGGGAGGTCATCCTGCCGGCGGCACTCCAGGCTTGTTTTTCAACAATCGTGATAAAAAGGCACGTGCCCCCTGTTATTTACCCGGCCTACCAGCGCCCGCACCTGCAGAGCTGAAAAATCCGTGCGCGAGGGCAGAAGGGGCAGCTCAGGCGCCGCGGCGGCGATGTTAGGGGGGAGGAGGGGCGCCGGGACCTGCGCGGCTCGGCCGGGGTCAGCGGCCGCAGCTCCAGGCCGCAGCCGCGCACCAAGACCCGGCACTCGGCCGCACTCACCGAAGTCCAGGAACTGCTTCATGGAGAGCGGCGACGGCGAGAAGCGCGCGTAGAAGTCCACCTGGCCCGGAACGCCGAGCTCCGGCGCCGGGCCGGAGCCGGAATCCGAGGTGAGGCTGCTGCTGGCGCGCCCCCGGGGGCCCGGGCCGGCCGAGGCGGCTCCGCGCAGCAGCCGCGCCAGCCTCATGCCGAGCCCCGCCGGAGAAGCCGGAGCCCCGGCGCCAGGTCGCCGCTCTGCGCCTCTGCGGGGCCCTACGTGAGGGACGTGGCGGCCTCGGGGGGCGGGGAGCGGCTGTCAGCGCCGCTGGGCGGGACCCAGGGAGCGCGGCCGGGAGGGCCCGGGCGAGCGCGGGGGGCGGGCGCCAGGCCGACCCCGGGCACCGCCCACTGGGCCGCGAGGCCTGGCGGCTCGGGCCGCCCCCTGGGCCTGGGCCTTCCCCGCCGCCCGCCGGAAGCGCCGTGGGCCGCTAGGTTCCGCTCGCGGTGAGGTGCGCCCCCGTCCCTCGCCTTTTTGAAACAAATCGTCACCTTCCTGCCTCCTCTGCCCTGCCGGCCTCAGCCAAAAGGCTCCAGGACCGGGCCGCGCTCCACTTCCGCACAACACGAGGTCCTGCTGAGAGCGTGGGTGCGGGAACCGTCGTCTGCCATTCTAGCCCCACTTACTGTAGATGAGGGAACTGAAGCCCCAGAGGGCTTCAGGAGCCGACCTTTGCCCAGCGGTGGTTTGTAAATCGGTGAGCACCGAGGAGTGCTAACTGATAGCGATCCTCATAGTAGCAGCAGCTGCGGTCCCGGGCAGGACGGTTGGTGGCCCAGCTTGCTGCAGAATCCGCACTGTATTTAAAGGGTCCCTCCTCTCCGACTGCCCTTCTCTCTGTCTTAGCAGCGCAGTTTGGCTGCTCCATCCTTTCCAGGTTTCTACGTAGTGAATACAAGACGAGACCACAGGGCTGCAAAGGCCACAGTCTTGTGAAAATCTCCACTGCCACCTCTTATAGCTTTGGTATGTCTTAGGTGCAACAGAATTACTTTTCCATGAGTAGTTTATTATATGTATCCACAATAACTGGTATAGAGTAACACTTCATTTCTCCATGGTCGTCCATCTTGGGTTGTATGAAAATAAGATCCGTATAGAGTGAGATGAGAGAGTCTCTTTTTAGGGTGTATTAGTCCCAAAAGTTTAGTGTGAAGAACATTAACCATGTGGAAACAGTGTAAGTAGTTGAGGGAATGGAGTGGATGCTGCACTTAAACATGTGCTCCAGAAGTGGTACCTCTTTTTTCAGGTATGTTAATGTGGCAATTAAAATTTTGGTAAAAATATCTTACAGGGAACAGTATGAATCTAACACTGAGATATATAGAGAAAGTAATCTCCTGCCCCACCATCCATTCTCTGTACCCTCCCAGTCTGGCCTGCCTTCATCCATTCTATGAATGTTTGTTGAATGCCTACTATAGGTACCAGGTAATGTTCTAGGTGGCTGGAAGTAAAGCCAAATGCAATTCAGACAGGATCCCTTTCAGATCTGCCTGCTTTTGCAAAGCATTTGTTATAGGGTCCAATATGGTAGAAGAATTATATACCATATCTTCAAATATTAGAAAACCTGCATAGTGAATGAAGGATTAGGTTTGTTCTGAGTGGCCCGCACAGCAGATAGAAGACTTGTAGGTGGAAATTGTAGGGAGACAAATCTTTGAAGTTAAACATTTGGTTGTTCTGAACTTCTTTACATGGCTTATTCAATGGGTTTCTCCACTCTGTAGCCTTTGGATCCAGTCTCCCACCCACCCCGCGATGGTTGGAGGTGTTCCAGTAATGGACTCCATAGCCAGCACAGCATGGTACACAGCAGCCAGTTGTTTCTCTGTTAAGGTGTACTGGACCTCTGCTCCTTTCCATAGTTGTGATCAGAATCCCAATAGGTTGGCACGTCCATTCAAACCACTGCCAAAGACCCCATCCATAACCATCCTCGATCACATGAACATCTAGCTCACAGGGCCTTGATGAGTCCATTACATTCAAGGCCTGTATAGCCTTGACTGCTCGCTTAGCAGCAGTAAAAGCAGCTGCACATGTCTCATCCCAGCCCCACCTGATGCTCTTTTGTACCAGCCGGTAGAAGGGCTTCAGAATATGTGCCAAGTGCAGGATGTACTACTGGGTGTCCAGTAGTACAAAAGCTACCCAAAAACTCTTGTAATACAGTGGCAGCGGTGGGGAAAGCCTGGGCCTTGTCTATGACTGCTTCTGGGATAACTTAAGATTTACCTGACGAGACAACCCCCAAGAGTGACATGACATAGATGTCTACACTGGCCAAGCAGGGCATGTATTTACAGCAGCTTTATAGCAGCACAGTGCCCTTTCCAATAGCCCCTTAAGTGGAGAACTCCAATGCTTATGGGGGCCAGTGACATATACCAGTGGAAGGCAGGAAGAACTTGATTTTGAGCCATTGGTAGCCAAGACTCCTTATCAGGAGGGAAAAGC